CTTGTACTTTTTTTACTTTGCATTTTGCGAAACACAAAGAAAAACATCTAAAATGTATGCGAATTTGCAACTTTTTGAGTTGTTTTTATTTTCCGTGCTCAGGCTGACGTAAGTGACCGGAAGTGAAATTTCACCTCCTTAGCAACGCGCGCGAGCGCGCGCATGAATCGGTTAATGGGCCCTTAATCTGAATAGTAACAATTCATCAAGAACTAGAGTTTAAAAGAAGATGGGTACAGATGAAGTTGGGAATCAATTAACTCAGCCTTTCTTTGATTGGATGCAGGCTAAGTAATACCTTCCATGATGCCTTACAGACAGTGAAAGAGTCTGTATTCAATTTTTAGGATGAGTGAAAAACTGTTCATGTCAGTTGTCCATTGTCAGTTGTCATTTCAGTTGTCAGTTGTCAGTTGTCCAGCCTCTTAAAAAAACACAACGTCAACGAAAACTAAAAAACAAAGTAAAATAAATGCTATCGTTCCCGATTTCAAGGACAGAATGTTTATAAACATATGGCGTTTTATTGAAGGAGTGATCAACGATGTAAGATTGCATTTATAACTTTCAAACCTTTAAACCTTGGCATAGGAATACCTGTGTGTCGTGCAATCAGTACTGCATTTGTATCAAGACAAATCTAGCGACAACTGGTACTGCTCCTGGGCTACCCTTTAGCCCCTTAGAAATGCTACACAGTTTAATGGTTTTGTCTTGCTTATAGGGATGATACTAGTATTTGGAGTAATTTTTGTAGTCTTGCTTTATACTTGTACTTTCATGAAAAAGGAAAGAAAACTCAGCAGATAACGAACATTGCTCTAGTATGAAATTCTTGGGTATCAAAACTAACCAAGCATTCTGCTGTTAGCTTAAAAGGTCCAAGTTCATTACTACAACTCCGAATCAGTTCAGAAAACTTTAACTGTACACTAGATCACCTGTACGAGCTATTTAATGTAAAAGGACCGGAGCTTTATGTAGGAGATTCAATTATGTAAAGTTATCGGTTTGGTGTGGCACGACGCGAGCTAGCTCATGTGAGATGGCGACACCGCTTTCTAAAAAGCCTCAAATCACTGCAGAAACCACAGCATTCGTATATTTGATTCCAGACCGCGATCTGCTGGATCCCTTGAGTTAAGACATGAACACAGATGACAATTGAGGCGTAATGTATCTCGAAACTCTCCATTTCGGAAACAGTAAATCCACAGGTTGATCGCTGATGATGTAAGCGCGATTGCCTCGATCCAGGGCCACACAACATAGGCCAGTTTATGATCAACGCACTTGTCGCCTGCTGTCACATAATCCACAACTGAAACCACTAAAGAAGGCATCCATGAAACAATAAAAACACCCAA